CAAAGGGAAGTGGGGAAAGCCCTTTGGTGAGCCATTGAAGACTGGACCGAGGAGTGTGTGGTATTGTATTTACAGTGTAAGCATCCTTTTTGATCAAGTCTGTCAGACTGAGAAATGAGCCTCAGAAGCAAGGAGTCCCATAACTGGGATTCCACTGGGTCTGAGAGACAGCTCTGCTCCCAGCACCATAGAGTCTAAATCTGGGTCTTTCCAGTTGCAGAGTTCCTGTGGAGTGTAGCTTTCTTGTAGGCTGGGGTGATCCCAGTCCATTAAGGGCTTTAGAGGTTAGGACCAGGACCTTAATTTCTGTCCTGGACCAAACTGGGAGCCAGTGGAATGTACAATACACGTGTGACATGTTTATATTAGAATCATAGAATATCAGGGTTGGAAAGGACCTCAGGAGGTCATCTAATCCAACCCCCTGCTCAGAGCAGGACCAATCCCCAACTAAATCAACTTGGCCTTGGTTAATGAGATACATGGGTCAGCCTGCAGCAGTGTGTCAGTTGCATTCAGCCCTAGATTGAATGAAGTGCAGTCATCTAGCCCGCAGGTGGCGCTGTGAATGTCAGTGGCTAAATCCTCATCTGAAAGCAGGGAAGGCAGTTTCCTGCCATACAAGGAGGGAAGGAAGAATTCCTCGCCCTAGTGGCAATCTCTGTGTCCAGGAGTCTGGCGGCACCTTGAGGTTTTTTTGCACCACCTGCCTGGTCTGGTGGCTCAGTTGTAGGTGAGGTTAGAGCACTTCAGTCTTTCCCCTTCCTAGAAAGTGACTTTCGTGGGTTGAACCAGAGCCATATGCGCTTCGTCCACCTGCAGAACTCCCCCAGGTGTCCGGACATCTTGGGGATGGCAGAGGCTGTATCAGTGGAGAAGGGAGATGTGCCGTTATCTACATCTCACTAGAGCCTGGGCCTAGGGTATCTCATGACCTTACCACAGGGTTAATGGACAATAGAGGAGGGAAGTGTGTCTTGAGCCTTGGCTGAACTCGCCCTGCAAACGCAGTACCCCTCCGCCTAGCACCGCCCCGCTCTTCCTGCATGCCACTTGCATAGCCCTGTTTGGCCTGGTAATTGTTCCTGCTGTCTGGATTTCTCATGCTGGAACAGGGCGAGCCAGCTAACGATCCCATCTCTCCTTACAGACCTGGAGAAGGAGGTAGTGAAGTTCCGGAAGAAGTTAAAAGACAGCCTCCCGGGCAGTGATTGGAACCCCTTCGGTACCACAAAGGGTCTCCCTCCTGAGCGCGCAGATGTGGTCATCGTGGGGGGAGGGGTGATGGGCTGGTCCGTCGCCTACTGGCTGAAGGCGCTAGAGCCCCAGAGAGATGCACTCCGAGTGGTCGTGATTGAGAAGGACCCAACGGTAAGTTACCTCCGAGGAGGCTGCTACTGCAAACGCTGTCATCCATTCTTCTTTTGGGCCATTTCACAAATGGGAGGGAGGAGGGATAGCTCAGTGGTTTGAGCATTGGCCTGCTAAACCCAGGGTTGTGAGTTCAATCCTTCAGGGGGCCACTTAGGGATCTGGGGCAAAATCAGTACTTGGTCCTGCTAGTGAAGGCAGGGGGCTGGACTCGATGACCTGTCAGGGTCCCTTCCAGCTCTATGAGATAGGTATAGGTAAATATGCAGCATCTCAGAGTCCCCTTTAGGCAAGGGTTTAGAAAGTGAGCTGAACTCCAAGTGCTGTGGCTGCGCTGCAGACCCAACCCGCCCTGTCCCTCTTATTGCACCAGATCTCCCTCCCCCACAAGGAAGATTTGCATCCATAAAAGGTGAGACCAATTGGACCGGAGGAGCTGACTGGGACTAGTCCAGAAAAGAGCCATGTAAGGGGTTGGACTCACCCCTGTGGCGCCTCCTGCTGGTTCTCCGGGGAATCAGCTCAGTCCAGCCCAGAGCGCCTTCTGCAGGCTGGTGATCCACCTTGTCATTCGTACTGGCCCCCGTGTCCCTCCCAGGACCCCGGTGCCCCTTGCTCTGGGTGCTGCCCCCTGGCAGTACCCCCACACGCTGGGTCTCCCCTCCCAGGGGAACCCTCGCCCACTAACCCCACCTCGCCTCAGGATAAGGCCACTGCCAGTCTCCAACTAGCCCCCACTCCCTGGGGCAGACTGCAGTATCGGTCACTCATCATCGGCAAGGTTGGGTTTGGACCTGCTGCCCTCTGCAACCCCCAGTACCCCTTGGCCTATCACTAGGCCGCAGCCTGGGGCTTTCCAGGCTGGAGCTCCCCAGCTCCTCAGCCTTTCCCCAGCCCTGCTCCACTCAGGTACCCTGTGTCTAGCTCCCTGCAGCCAGGCCCTTCTCTCTCTGGGTGCAGAGAGAGACTCTGTGTCTGAGTTCCTGGCTCCCTGCCTTTATAGGGCCAACTGAGTCTGTTTGGGGCGTGGCCCCAGCTGCAGCCACTTCCCCTGAATCAGCTCAGCCTTCCCTGCCCCAGCCTTCTCCCAGGGCTGTTCCAAACCCCTCAGGGCAGGAGCGGGTAACCACCCCGCTACAAGCCAGCTCAGGCACTCCCTATCCGTGGCCCCATGAAGTCAC